AAAGAAAGAAAGAAAGAAAGAAAGAAAGAAAGAAAGAAAGAAAGAAAAGGGTTCAGTACAAGGGAGTCTTGGGAGTGGTGGCCAGCCTCGCTGCACACGTGCCTGGCGGTCACTCCAGCAAATGCTCTTTCCCTTTCTCTTTTTCCAACCCTTTTCTTTTCCCTTTAACCATGCTCTACCTCCCCATCCATGTCTATATCTACCTGAAGCCTCTAGTCGAGCTGGGAAGCCCGATAGTCTAAATGACCAGTCCAGATCTTGTGCCCAAAAGACACACACATGAGGACTGGACATGCACACTTTGAAGTCTACACACACTCTCATGAAGCTACCATCATGGCCAGAAGATGGGGAAGAACCTAATGTAGTCCTTCATGGTACTGACCAGAGAGTTGGTCAGGCTAGCATTCCCGATTGTCTGGGAAGGTCAGTCAGGACCTCAGACAACTTATCTGGCCTCAGGCGAAAGTGCTGAACCATGTACTCTTTGGGAATTCTCCATTCAGGTTCATGAAAATATTCTTCTTAGGATTAAACCAAAGATAGTATCACGGCAGTTAGCACCGACCAAGTGCTCCTGGGAGTTTGGGTTGGTGTGTGCTTATGGCTGGTGCCCACGATAGTGACCAAGGCCAGAAGATCACACAGTCTTATTCCTTTGTCTAAAGGACAGTGTAGGCTTCACAGGCATCAAGGGACACCTCTGAGCTCTAATGTCCCTAAACCCTCCTCATTGCTGGTCAGCTGATTCCAGTGAGGTTCCTGGGACTTGGAAGCTCTGTTTAGTGAAGAGTCCAAGGCAGGGGGTTGGGATGGAGTGGCAGAAGGGAGGGTGATGGAAATGGGAAAGACAGTGGGATGACAGGGGATTGGTCTGAAAGGTTGAGTGTTGGAATGGACCAAGAATGGACAGTAATCCCAGACACCAACTCTGAGGGCTCCTGTGCTCCAAAGAAAAGCAGAGCTGTTTTCTTTTGTTTTTAGTAAAAAGGCAAGTCTTACATCTTTTGTTCACGTTTTTGGATCTCCAGCACACAGAGGCATGGAGGAATTACCCAATAAACAATTTTTCAACTAATGCAAAAAAGCCAAAATTCAAATGCTAGGGAGAGAATCTGATGTGCTGTGAACCAAGGCGGAGCTAGAGATGTGTCAGAATGAGGGAGAGGGTGCATCAGCTTCAGTCAGGTAGGTTATGGAGAAAGGCTAAGGAGCCTGGGAGTTGCCTCAGGGTTTTGTGGACAGGCTAGATGGATTAACCCACTTCAGAGGGCCCAGGGAGATGCAGCCATCAAACAAAATGGAAAGCAGAACAAAAACGTTGAGACAGGCAGACACAAACTTTATTCAAATGTTTGAAACCCTGGGGTGTCTATGCAAGGTCCCTCCCAATGAGCTGAGTGACAGCCCTTAAAAAATCTGCAGGAAAAAAGAAAAATTAAAAAGTCTGCAGGATTTTGCCAGACCAAAGGGTTGGTGGTGGAGGAAAGGATCCCTGTAGAGGCAGTGACACTGTCAAAGGTGCTGCTTTGTCAAAGGGCAAGAAATTTAATTTTCAGGAAAGAAAGTGGATTGGCAAAATGCACCTGGAGGGTTGCAGAGAAGTTGGCTGAGAGGAGACTCCAGGTGGACATCCACACTGAGCAGCGTCCTTGTGCCAGGCGGACAGTTTGCTTCTCAGTCTCCTCTCCATGGGGAGGTGTTGAGCGGGAAGGTCTCAGAAGCTCTTTTTCATAAGGTAATTCACAGAGTTTGTGAGTCCAGTAGAGAGATGTAGGAGGCCACTGGAAAAGTGTAGGCCGACTGTGCAGGGTGGGACTGGCCGAGACAGACTGTGCAGGGAGCTGTGGAGACCGATGCTGAAGAAGAGGAGACGGGCCGTGGGAGAGAAGCTGATGGGGCACGGCCTATGAAGTCTGGTCACTGATGGTGTAGCAGTGGTGAAGGAGGAAGTGAGTTTGGTTTCTGGTTTTGGGGATGGCAAGGATGACAGAATCAGTGTGTTAGAGCAAGGGTACTGTGAAGCAGACAAACTTAGGAAGGAGATAAAAGACTGTTCAATTGGAAATCTCTACAGGATAAATACTTTTTATTTGCTAATTGGAGATTTGTAACTTTTAAGAAAGGCCAAGATTGAGGAGTCATACATATGGGAATTGCAGCAAGGAGTAAATGAGGCTTCCTAGGGTGAGGGTGCAAAGAGAGGAGGACCACAGGCAGAACCTTGAAGAACCCCCACATTTTAGGAATGCAAAAGTCTTCCGCTGTAAGTCATATTTGCCTCCTATAAAGTAGGTGATCATATTCAGACTTACAGGGTTTTTATTAGGTATCTAGCCAGAGAGTAAATATCATAAAATATTAAGTTCCATTGCATTTCAGTTAGATTATCAAAAAAAAAAAAAAAACCTAACATCACTGTAAAAAAACAAAATACCCTAAAGTGTATTGGGTGGGGGTTGGAGAAGTGGTCAAGCGACCGGCGAGATACAGGGATGCCTAGGAAGGATGAGCAGCTTGTCTCTACCCGGAGAATCCCCCCTGACATGAAGGGCTTTCTGCTTTCAGTTGAGATTTCTAAATTTCTATTATTGACTGGAAAAGATCATTTCCACAGATCAAAAGGAGCTGGTTTTAGACAGATTCTTATTTCTGTTTCACATCGTACCCATGTGGTAAGATAAACTAGCCACAGCTGCACATCGATCTGAAGACTGAACCTCCTGGCGTATGATGTCTTGTTCTCTTACAGTGCCTTTAAGGAGAAACGATGGCTTCAGCAGCTAGGAATAGCAAGAGCCCTTGCCAAAAAGAGCATTTCCCACCTGACCACCCACAGAGGCCTGGCAGCAGATGAGAACCCTCCAGAAATGTTGCTTTGAAAATTCAGGACGACCTTAGTTTGGGAAAAGACCTATTCCCACAGAACTCCAGTTCTAGTGTTAACATTCCTAAGCTATCATCTCTCCAACAGCCCAGTGCACGCGCACAGCTCTCGGCCACACGATTTCCAAAAGGATACCAAATGGCCAACGAGCGCCATGATCTCTTGGACTCCACCACCCCAGGAGAAAAGGTAGGGCACAGTTTTTTTTATAGAGAGTCAGAGGAAGAATCTACATGAACGTGAAAACAGTACTTGTCTACAGGGTGTGGTAACAGCGAAGATGAGAACCAAGGATAAAACTTAGGATTTTTACTTGTTTTCTGTTTCTTTGGATCTGTTTCAATGTTTTTAGATTTTTAAGTCACATAAATGTAGAACATAAAACAGAGTAAATAAATTTTTAAAATTCTACAAGGAAGTCCTTAGGAGAGTTACAGATACCATCTAGGTTTAGCATAGTGGTCCAGACATCTTTTTAACTTCTATTAAAACATTGTTTCCTATTATTTTTTTTAACAGGTACTAACTGCCTTTTTTTTTTAATTGTAGATAGACACAGTACCTCTATTTATTTATTTTTATATGGTGCTGAGGATTGAACCCAGTGCCTCTCGCATGCTAGACAAGCACTCTACCACCGAGCCACAAACCCAGCCCCTAATTTTTTAAATTGAGGAAAAGTTAACATAAAATGAGTTGTGTGGCTTGTAAATATAAGATTCAGTGGGTTTAACAAACATACCTTTGTGGGAAGGTTCTCCCAGTCAAGATGAAGAATAGCAGTTACCCCCAGAGAATTTCTTCAACCTCCCGAGTCAGGACCAGAACCGAATTCTGACTCTGTCTCCAGAGGTAAAGATTTCCAGACCATTCCAACCATATGGTTCCTCCCTTATTTTTCCAGATGACCTGACTGTCCCTGATATTTTGAGACTCATTTATACTGTTGCAGGCATTAGAAGTCCATTTCTTATCTCTAAGTTGCCCTATTGTATGGATGTGCCACAATGTATCCATTCAACTATTTGGACGTTTGAATTGTCTCCAGTTTTGTGATATTATGAATAAAGCTCTTTGAACATTATTGTAAAAGTCTTTTTCTGGGTATATGTTTTCCTTTCTTTGGGGTAAATACCCAGGAATGGACTTGTTGGATGATGGGGTGAAGGTTTAATGTTATAAGACACTGCCTGGGCATTTTCCCCAAGCGTCCTAGGACTTGGCACCCCACCAGCAATACACCAGCATCCTGGAGCCTCACACACTTCACCTGCACCTGCTCTCACCAACGCCTTTCCTCTTGAATCATTCTAGTGGGGTTGAAACCGCACAACATTATGGGTTTAGTTTGCATTTCCCTGATATCTCAATGTCAAATGCCTTTTAATATGCTTATTTGCCGCAGTCTGGCTGGGCACAAATCACCGAGCCGCCACAAAGCACTTGTATGTTCAAACAGGAAACTTTATTGCCTGAACTCAAACAGCACTCCACGCACACTCCCGGGGAACTCTCCCCAACGCCACCCACGCGGTCCCCAGGAACACCACACACACACCGGAACTCCCTCCACCGGAACTTCCTCCACCAGAACTTCCCCAACCAACTAGAACTCCCCAGGAAATCCCCTAGTGAGAACTCCGGGCGCCTGAGGCGGACAGCAGGGGTCTACATACAATTGAATAAATCCAGCATCATCTTAATGGCTCGCCTCTCAACCATTACTTCTGGCAAAATACCAGGGGCCATTCGGACTCGGCTGTGGCTCTCAACACTTATTGGCCATTTTACATCTTTTTTTATGAAATAAATTCAGTTTTTGCCCGTTTAAAAATTGGGTTATTTTTTACTTATTGGATTTCATAAACACACACACACACACACACACACACACACACACACATATATATATATATATATATATAAAGTTGTAGATGGACACAACATCTTTATTTTATTTCTTTTTATGTAGTACTGAGCATCGAACCCAGTGCTTCACATGTATGAGGCAAGTGCTCTACCACTGAGCCCACCGAGTCATAACCCCAACCCAACCCATACTTTTTGTTTTTTTTTTAAATGTGTGTGTACTTATGAAACACATTCTTAATAAGATACACACACACACATATATGTATATATAAATTTTGAGACGGGGTTTTGTTAAGTTGCTTAGGGTCTCACTAAGTTTCTGAGACTGGCCTCAAACTTGTGATCCTCCTACCTCAGCCTTCTGAGTTGCTGGGATTACAGGTGTGTACCACCCCTGACTTAGTGGCTCATGTTTTTTTTTTTTTTGTTTCTTCTCTAAAAGTTCTTTGCCTGCCCCAAAGTCATGAAGATATTCTCTATGTTGTCTTCTAGAAGCTTGATGGTTTCATCTTTTATGTTAAAGTTCACATCTATCTCAAACTGTTATGTGTGAGATAAGCAATAAGATCAGGATTCATTTTTTCCACAAATTTCTTAAGCTCTAGTACCAGCTATTGAAAAGAATTTCCTTCCCCTATTGAATTGCTTTGGCTCCTCTGTTGAAAACCAATGAGCAGCATGCATATGGATTTATTTCCAGACTCTATTCTGTCCCACTGATCTATGTCCTTATCCTTACACTAATACCATACTGTCTTAATTACCAGTGCTCAGCCTTGAAATCAGGTATGAATCCTCTGTTTTTTTTTCTTCTTTTTCAAGTTTGTTTTCACTCTTCTCTGTCCTTTGCAATCCCATGTAAATTTTAAATTGAATCTGCCATTCTGTATTTTAAAAAGCCTATTGGGATTTTGATACAGTACAAACGATATCGTTACAATATTAGGTCTCACACCTGTGATTTACTTCTCTATCCGTGACACATGTCACTGCTATAGTTAGGGTCTGGAACGTCTGCCACATGTCCAGTTTGGTGCTGTGTGATGGCTGGCACCTTGAAGAGGCGAGCCCTCAGGAGAGGTCTTTAGGTCTTTGGGGGTATGCCTTGAAGAGGACAGTGGAGCTCAGCCTCTTCCTCTTTCTCTGTTTTGCTTCCCAACCATGAGGTGAGTGATTCTTTCCACCATGCCCTCCCTGCATGATATGCTGCATCATCGCAGGCTTTTAAGCATTGGGACCCATAAGTTTGGGACTGGAATTCCAAAACTGTGAGGCAAAATAAACCTTTCCTCTGCATAAGTTGGCTAAGCTCAGGGATTTGTTATAATGACAGAAAGCTGACTAACATAGCCCCAATTTATTTCAGTCTTCTTTAATTTTCCCCACCAATGCTTTATAAATTTTAGTGTAGAGGTCTTTCAAGGCTTCTGTTGATTTTTTTCCTAAGTATTTTATGTTTTTGATGCTATTTGGAGTTTTTTTTTTTTTTGGGGGGGGGGGTATTGGGGATTAACTGAGGGACACTTGGCCTCTGAGCCACATTCCCAGCCCTATTTTGTATTTTATTTAGGGACAGGGTCTCACTAAGTTGCTTAGCGCCTTGCTTTTGCTGAGGCTGGTTTTGAACACACAATCCTCCTGTCTCAGCCTTTCAAGATGCTGGGATTATAGGTGTGTGCCACTGTGCCCAGCTGGTAAGATTTTAAGATATATTCTGGTACAATAATGAAAAACACCCCAAATCTAAAAGCTCATTCATTCTCTCTCTCTCTCTCTCTCTCTCTCTCTCTCTCTCTCACACACACACACACACACACACACATACACACTTAATTCTGAGTTCCTAGTTGGATATTATGCAACTGGAGCAAAAGCAGATACAAAGCTGATGTTAATGAGATGATGTAAGGGAGTGTGTTAAAAAAAATGATGTAAGGGAGTGTGTGTAAACTTCTTTATTATAAAGAAAGTAAGAGCAGATAGTGCCAGGATGGGGGCACTGCAGAGTTCCAGGGAGTTGATAGCATTCTAGTTCTTGCTCTAGAATATTAAGTGTTTGAGAAAATTCAACAAGGAATATTGTCTTACCTGACCCATTTACAATATGCATTTATAGTACAAATTTTCAAAGTAAACTGAAATAATGAAGAAAATACCAGAGGTTAACTCATGCATTTGGTGCCAACTGCAGACTCATGAGGTAGCAGCTTGGGAGGAAGGATGGTCACTGCACTTCCGTCCCTGTGATGTGTGCGGACTTCAACTGGGATTTTTTGCAGTGGTCACAATATTTTATGTCTTATCAAAACACAGGCAAGGAAATGTGTTGTGCAAAGAGTCTGGTGTGAAATTCCTAAAAAGAAAGGAACACAGGAAGGTCTGAGGGGGAAATGAAAGTGAAGGGAGAGGGAAGATGAGGCGAAGCACTGGGGAATGATGAGTCTGAAGCCCAGCTTTCTGCCAGAATCAATGGGAAAATACTGTATGTCTGATCTCTTTCCATATTAGCCCTGGAAGAGACAGCATGAATGGAAAGAAAGCATGGCCACACCTGTCCTGTGGTGCAACTGTCAAGCATCATTAATGTGCACAGGATACCCAATGACACTTACTCTGATCTTGATGAAATTAGGGTTAACTGCCCCTTCTCTGTGCTTCCCGGCCACTGTATTCATCCCACAAGTGTCACCACTTATCACACTGCTGAAATCACGTGTCTGTCTCCTTCACTTTACTGTCTTTATCTTCTAGAGGGCAAGGACATTGTTTTATTCATCTCAAGTTCCGGAGGCATAGTATATGCGTGAACCAATGCATATCTGAATTAGGTGAGTGGATTTTAAGACGGGCTTACGAGGAATTCTCAATTATTTGTGTACATAAACCTGCTCCTATAAAATACAGGCACTTCCGTTTACAAGTCTTTCAATTGCTTAATTCTAATTTATTGTTGCATTTGATCATCAAAATAAGTCTCTCAATGTAAATTTATTAGTTTATGGGAGCACTATCACAGCCCTGCATGGCAAAGAAAGGCAATCTTTAAAATACCCATTTTACAGATGGAGAGGCTAAAACATAAAAACAAATTGCTGTTTGTCAGTCACAGTGGCACATACCTGC